ATGAATGGGCCTGACTGTATTTGCGTCACACAGAAATATGCTGACTATACCAGCAAGCCAGAAGAAAGAGGACATAGTATAACCTATGACCTCTGTTTGCCTTCTAACATTAAAGTTGAGAAATTATAGTAAAGTTAGTATGGGTACATAAATATGAGATCCACACAGATAAAAATGAAAATAACAAAGCCTAGTTAAATGTACTTTTCAGCCTTCAAAAATTATTAGTGAAAAAAGCATGTAGTTCTGAACTAAAATATTTTGGAGACAGGGTCTTGCTATCCAAGTGAACCTCAAATTTGCTATCTCCCTGCCTCCAGCCACCAAGTGTGGGGGCTTCTGGTAGGCCCCGATTGTCCAGCCACAGCTATGAAGTCTGCACCACAAGGAGGCTGATAGCCAAAGAAGGGGGAAATGAAAAACCAAAAAATCTACATACAGCACATCAGATACAATATATATAAAGAACCAAGACAAACTATTTACTCCTAAGTATGTGCTGATATTACAGAGCATTCCATGGTTTGAATTGCTAGCACTTTAGGTAAACTCATGGGTATTTTTGTCTGTTTACTCTTAAACAATCTTAAGACATCAGTCCACACTTACTCTCGCTTGCGGTTTCGTTTGAAGAAGCCGGCCCATTCTGTGCAGGTCTTTTTGCTTCCAACCCAGAAGACTGCAGAGATGCCAACGATTAATGTCATCAGATATTTTATCATAAATAAAGCCAGGTCTGGTCGAGCTCCTGGGTTTGCCTACAAAAACAAAATAAAAAACAACATACTTAAAATATAAAGAAAAATCTGCAATGTCAAAGTTGGTGCAAATTATAAACCTTCAGTCTGTTTGAAGTAAATAACACAGAGGAACAACGGTTTAAGTCCAGCACAGTTTTATGACGTTCTGAACAAGGAACTTTTATGTGTGTCAAAATGTGGCTCTCAACAGAAAAAAGTACTAACGGTTTTCAGAATCTTGGTGTGACTTCTTGACTGCTTCCTCCCCTACTGGTAAAGTGGCCTCTTGTAATTACTAAGGTATCTGTCTAAGTATTTACCTATTTTCCTTCACTATGATCTACGTTAAAATATATTTAGGGGCTGGAGAGAAGGCCAGCAGTTGGGAGCACTGACAACTCCTGCAGAGGACCCAAGTTCAGCTCCCACCACCCACATGCTGGGTCACAACCACCTATAACCGTCCCAGTGCTCCCTACTGTCCCTGGTGGCACAAAGCATACATGGGTGCATATACATGCATGCAGGCACACACTCATACATAAAAACAAAAATTAAAAAACACATTTTCTAGTCCTTCTGCATCAATGCACATGTTGTTAAAATTTGTCTGGCTACCACAAAACCAATATTATTAAGATGTGAAAATGTAGAAATTTCATAAAATTTTGTTTAGAGCATCCATTTTCAAATGCTGTTGTGAGTGTCCGAGTACAAAAGTATTACACGGATAGCATTGTATCTTGTTTTTTGTGCTAATTAATATGCCCAGGGCACATACAGAGCTTTGCTTTTAAAGGCATGTTCGTTTGTGGACTCTGCTTTCCTCAACTAGCCCCTATTTAAACGTGTTTACGTTGCTTCCCACCTAGTTCCAACTGCAAATAATGCTGCTCTGACCATCCCTGTATTATTTAAAGTGATTCTCCAGGAGGAGCTAAAAAACAGGAGGAAAACAGGGAGGGATGGATGGGACAGAGGGAGAAAGGCAGAGGCTCGAAGAGGAATGGAGAAGCCATCAGGTCCAGGGTTCGAGGGCTGGGGAAGTTCTCCATCACCAAGCGACACCCCCAGCCAGATAAATCCTAGTTTCCTTGAATTACTCAATTTATTTGAGACAGAATCTCACTACATTGCGCAGCCTGACTTCAAACTCAACAATTCTTCTACCTCAACCACCCAAGTATACAAGCACTCTGCATACTCTTAAGATTTATGTTCTGGAAACCCCAAATTTTCTTCAAAAATTCAACTGAGATGCTTTAAGAAATTACATGTTTTCAGGAATTTACAATTTTCCACTTTAAAAAGCACCTTATAATACTCATAAGCATCAGAGACACATTTTCAATTGTGTGTTCTTCTCAGTTAAGAAGAACAGGAAG